CTCTCTCTCTCTCTCTCTCCCTCTCTCTCTCTCTCCTATAGCCAACTAAGCGTGCACGTTATCCCCTCTCTGAGCCAATTTTGATGACAGTGAGGTCCGAGCATTATCTGCCACCACCTCATGTTCCCCTCTAGTGTAAAAGCTCTTCCCTTCACACCTCTGTTACATGAGATAATTTACCCCGTTTTGCCTCTTCCTTCTCCTTTCTCCCAGGGCATTCCTCTTCCTCACCCCTTAATTTTATTCTTTTGAAATCAATCCATCAGAGTAGACTCACACCCATGCCCTTTGTCTACTCCTTCTATACTCTTTTTTTTTTAGGCAATTGAGGTTAAGTGACTTGCCCAGGGTCACACAGCTAGCAAATGTCAAGTGTTTGGTCTCAGGCCGGATTTGACCTCAGGTCCTCCTGACTTCAGGGCCAGTGCTCTATGCATTGTGCCACCTAGCTGCCCGACTTGACCTACGAATGCTGGAATTTGGCTACAATGTTCCTGGAAGTTTTCATTTTGGGATCTCTTTCAGGAGATAATCAGTGGATTCTTTCAATTTCTATTTTACCCTCTGGTTCCAGGACATCAGGACAGTTTTCCTTGATAATTTCTTGAAAGATGACATCTAAGCTCTTTCTTTGATCATGGCTTTCAGGTAGTCCAATAATTCTTAAATTATCTCTCCTAGATCTATTTTCCAGGTCAGTTGTGTTTCCAATGAAGTATTTCACATTTTCTTCTATTTTTTCATTCTTTTGATTTTGTTTTGTTTCTTGATGTCTCATGGAGATATTAACTTTACTTGCCTACTTATAATCTTTATGGAATTATTTTCTTCAGTGAGCTTTTGTACCTTCTTTTTCATTTCACCAATTCTACTTTTTAAGGAGGTCTTTTCTTCAATGAATGTTTGCACTTCTTTTTTCCAGTTGGACAATTCTGCTTTTTAAGGAGTTCTCTTCAGTGGATTTGTGTTTTTGCTTTTGTACTGTTTTTGTTTTTGTTTTTATCATTTGGCCTATTCTGTTTCTTAAGGAGTTATTTTCTTCAGTAGCTTTTTGTGCCTCCTTTACCAAGCTGTTGACCCTCTTTTCATAATTTTCTTGTATCACTCTCATTTCTGTTCCTAATTTTCCCCTATCTCCCTTATTTGAGTTTTTAAATTCTTCCAAGAATTCTTTTTTGGACATGTGACCAATTCACATTTTTTCTTTGAAGCTTTGCATGTAGCTGTTTTGACTTCATTATCTTTTTCTGAGTTGTTTGTATCTTGATCTTCCCTGTCACCACAGTAACTTTCTATGATCAAGTTCTTTTCATGTTGTTTGCTCATTTTTTCAGCTTATTTCTTGACTTAAAACTTTATGTTAAAGTTGGCTTTGTTCCCAGGGTGGAGGGGGCACTGTCCCAAGCTTCAGGTTTTTCCTGCCACTATTTCCAGAGTTAGCTCTGGGGGTCGACAGGTTTTTGGTTCATCCAAGATGCTTTGATCTAAGGAGAGCTGTAGTCACTGTTCTCCTGGCCTGTGAGCAAACACAAGCATTCTTCTGTGCCCTGGAACAGTGACCAGGGCCCTTGCACTCTTCTGGTTGCAAGTGCTAGTGAGCTAGTGTTCCTTTCAGCTCCGGGATTGTGACCCAGAACTGCATATGGGTAAAGCAACAGAGTCCCGCACCTAGTGCCCGCAAAGGGTTCCCTGTAACCTCCTTCTGACTAGTTGTCCAACCCTCCTACCACTTGTGGACTGAGAGCTTCTAGAGCTGCTGCTGCTGCTGATGAACTGCCTCTGAGGCCTTCGGCATGCCGTGGCATGGTGTGCACTGCACGGTCTGTGCTGGGCTCCAGGTCCGACCGCCACCCCACTGAGACAGACCTTTCCTGCCCAAGTTTTCCTGGGCTGTACAATCGTTTCACCCCAACCTTTTGCTGGTTCTGCCACTCCAGAATGTTGCGTGAGGCGCTATTTTGCAGTTGATTAGGGAGGAACTTGAGAGAGCTCGGGTAAGTCCCTGCCTTTATGCCACCATCTTGGCCCTGTCTCCCAGCATCTTCTTTTCTAAAGGCCTGTATATCATTCCCTCAAAACTATGCTCTAAGATATTGCTTCAAAGGCACAGAGGCTCAGAGATTCAGAGCTAGAAGAAGTCTAAGAGATCCTCTAGCCCAGCCCAGTCATTTTACAGATGAGAAGACTGAGGCCCAGAGAGGTCAAGGGACTTGTCCCAGGTCATAGATGGGACAGAGTTGGGATTTAAACCCAATCCTTCTGAGACCAAATCTTGCCCTCTTTCCACCGCACCTGCTACACACCTGTAAGTCAAACACAGACTACAGCCATCAGACTCCACCCTCCTTCTCTTCTTAACAACAGGATTAATAGTGTGGGTCCTCCCTGCAGGGAAGTCAACAAAACTTTCATTTCTGCAATGCTCCCAGTAATGTCTGGCTCTGCAGCTTCTTATTGTGTGTCTAAGGATATTTGCTTCTTAAATTTTGCAACTGCAATAGTTAGCTTTGTTCCCTCTAGGAATGTAAATGAATTAAAACTGTTTGCTCAAGAATAAGGAAGTAGCAATTGGACCTCTACCCACCCAGGTTGCACCTTCTCTACAGCTCATAGAGTTGCCCAGGGCACACGAAGTTAAGCCACATGTCCTTAAGGGTCACATGGTTAAGAGGAGTCACAGGTAGGACTTGACCCTGGGTCTTCCTGACTCTGAGGCCCACCCTCCCTCTGCACTGTGTCTCTTGCTACAGAAAATCTACATGCACATACACACTTACGCATCGTACATATTTATACAATACTGGGTTTATTTACTGTATAAGCAGGGCCTTTCTCCTGTGTTAGGATGTTTCCGTATGGGGTAGTTCCTTCCCTTTCTCCATGGACTCTGGATTAGCATTTCACATATAGACTCCCAAGGGAAAAAACCCTAAACACTTCAATGAGGGCTTTGATTCACACTTGGGAAAGCCATCCATGGCCGTTCTCCCAGGATTTGCCAGATGACTGACATCTGATGAGACCACCTCAAATCACTCTTGTTAACCAGTCTTCAGGAAATTCAAAAATGTCTCACTTCTATCCTCTCATCCCCAACGACTGTACTCAACCCTGAAGCGAAGGTCTGGAATTTGAGGCAACACGCTAATGTGGAAAGAGGACCATCTCTAGCGCTTCCCACTTGTGTGACTTTGGGCCACTCCAGGCCTCAGTTTCCTCATCTGTAAAATGAACAGGTTGGACTAGAGAGCTGAAACTCCTTCTAACTCCAGCTCGAGGATCTTATAATCCAATTCCTATCCCGGAACCCCCATAAAGAAGGGTGTGCCCTTAGTATAGGTCAGAGATGGGAGTTTTCTTAAAGAGGGAAACATGAGAAACTGTTCTGGAAGCTGCTGTACCATCTTCCTCTGGGGGAAGCTGACATGCCATCACCCCAATCTGGATGCATCCTGCTGCAAACAGCTGCCAAGACTCTGCTTTGATAAATCTCCACTGAACACATAACTCTTGAGTGTAGAGTACAGGACCTGGAAAGGCATTTGCAGCCAAATGAAGGAACTGAAATTGATCAATTCTCTTTATTTCAGATTTCTCCAGAGCCCCCTCATTCTAATTGCTGCCACGAATGGCCCTAATTAAGTCCTTCCATTGGTATAGATCATAATCTACCAATGCTTTATAATCCTGTCTGACCCTTGTCCAGTTCCTCCCATAAATTTTCCACGAAAGATTTATCCAATATACTGGAAACCATCCTCCATATCTCAACATTAAGAAAGTCCTCATGCAATACCTGAGTTGTCCATCGATGGATCTCTCTCCCTGCAGCTACACAACCATCTCCCTCCCCCCAAAGCCAAGGCTCCTGGATGATAATACTTCTCAAACACACAGGAAAAAAAAAAAGGCAAAATGTTTATATCCATACTGCATAAGCAGGAGAAAAAGCAGAAATCAGGTTGGATCATTTCTGGGGGATGGAAAGGCAAGGTTCTGCCCAGAGACAGAGAAATGATGCCTGCTGGTCCAGGACTCCTCTGGGAGAGAAGGGGTCACTGAGGGGTACCTTTCTGGGAAAAGAGCCAACCACCTACCTCAGTGACAAAGAGAGTACGGGGATCAATGATGTCCAGGAAATGCCGGAACCGGCCATAAAAGGAAGTCTGTAGGGAAGAAAGGAAAAATGGAAAGAGATTAAAATGACTACTCCCTGGATAATTCCAAAAAACAGAAACAAAAACAAAAAACAACCAAAATCCCATCCACATTTAGCGTCAGACAATGACCTCTAGGACATCTAACTCACCAAAACCATGCCCTCTCACTTATTGGGGGATGGCTCATGGAGTTTGGGTCATTTTTGTAGCCCGTGTACAAGTGAATTTGTAAATGAGTATACTAACTACCTCGATTTGCTTGAGCTCCCCAATTATCCAGGTAACCTAAGAGAACTGTATGAGGACTGGCTGTATTAACTAAGACACAGAGTGGTTTGACATTCCAACAATCCTCTGCAGTGACCGAGAACAAACCCAGCTGGATGTGCAGAATCAGCAACTCTGAAGCCAATTAAGCTCATACCAGCTTTGAAGCAGACTCTGAGCCATTTGATGGCTTATGGACCTTCCGGGAGCACCTTTACCTTCAGAGACTCCCCTAACTGTTGTTTATGGGGCGCTTGGACACACCTTGTTTTATGGTTTTTGGAGGCACCCCCTTATCTTATTGTTTATGCTCAAGCCTTGGGCTGTCAGGTTTGCTTATCACCAAGAATGTCTTCTGATTTGTGTATCAAAAGGCCATAGCTCTGACACCTGGAATTCCTCACACCCCCTGTTTCCTGGATCTCCCCCGCCCTTTGGGAATGGGGCTCCCTGCCTCATTCCTTTCTAAGACCTGCAGTTCCTGCCTTTCTCCCCAATTCCCTGCTTTCCTTTGTTTCAAAAGTGTATGTGTGTATTTCTATACATACATACATACATACATAGTATGTATGTATGCTGTTCAAATTAAGCTAACTGTTCCCTTTCACATGTTTTAGTTGCCTGCTTAATAAAAACTTTCTTTAATTTCACAGGCATCATCTTCCTCTGGTTTTCTTCCCTTTAGGGAAAAGGGGGATTGGATCTCGAGAACTGGCCTTTGTGTTCCCCAGGTACCTTTCCCCTTTGGGGGAAAGGGAGATCCAAATTCCCTAGAGAGAGCGTCTGCCTCGGTTTCCACCTGCTGAGGCTGTATATCCATATGTGAGCCTCAGCCCACTCTAAAGTCCTACACTGAACTTCCTCTCATGCTAGTGGGAAGAAGGGATGGCAGCATCTCTGGAGGTCAGGCGACCACCTTTGAGAACACCTGCCAAAGACTCACTGTTCTCCCCCTCTTCCACTCTGAACAGTCAGAGCCCCAGCCCTTGGGTGTTCGATACACACTGAACACCATCAGCATTGAATCAAGTTAACAATGAAGCCCTTCCTATGTGCCAGGTACTGTGATAAGCCCCCAGGGGTCTCTGGGTGGGTCTGTCTGTTTCTGCGTCAGTGGGGAGGGGAAAAAAGGAGGGCCAAAGAGGAAAGGCAAAAAGGAGAGCAGTGGCCTCGGAGATCCCACCGCCTCTCCCCAGCTCTAGTTTCCCAGCCTTTCCTTCCCCTTCCACACTATGGCCCTGGCAACAGCCCTGGGCTCCTGGGCTCTAAAACACTGAAATTCTAAGGAGGAAGGCATGGGCAGCCCTATCCTTCCTTTATGCCCAGTTCCTTCTGTCACTCCCATGCTCCCAGACACCCAAAGGCGCTGACCTCTCCAGTCTTATCTCCCAGTACCTCCCCATTGTCTCCTCCCTCCACTCAGGTCGGGCTGGACTCCTCGTGGTGCACTGCCCAAGCACATCAGACCCACTCATTCCAAGGCACCCAGCTGCAGTGGACATTAGGGTCAGCGGAGGCTAGAGTGTGAAGGGGGCTGGGATCAGGGTCAGCAGCAGAGGAAGGGTTCTGAACCTGGACTTCTCAGAATACAGATCCGACACTCTACCAGCTACCCGGACCTCCCAGAGGCAGGTACGGCCAAGCCAATCCTGTCGGATGCCAATGAGGAACCCCCCAAAGCCAAGGTCCAGCAGCACTTGTGTTCTGTACCAGGCATCTGCCAGTCCACCGACACGGACACTCCTCAGAGGCAGGGGCTGTTCTGCTTTAGTCTGTGAGCCCAGGCTGTCAGCACAGCAACTGCCACATAGGCACAGGGATCGGTCCTGGGATTTGATTTGCTAGAGGGAAATCCCAGAAAAGGAAACTCCCTCCACCAATGCAGGTGAGTGCCCACAGTCACACAGTCACGATGTGTCACACTTGAACCCAGGTCTTCCTGGCTATACTATGTTACCCAGCCCATAGTGGGTGTTTAAAAAAGTGGATGAATTTAGGTTTTAAGCACTGAATAAGTATTTAACTGGTGAGAAAAAGGAGTCCAATTTTCCCTGTGCAACAAGCAGACCTCTCATCCCTCGGGGTGCAGCAGAAAGAACCTTGGCTCTGACCGGATGGCACACGTCAGTGCCAGGTCCTTGGAAGGCATTTAGTCCAACTCCCATGGGAAACAGGAGCCTCCTCAGTTACCCACAGTCAGCCACACTCAGCTTAAAATACCTCCAGTCACAGAGTGTTCTGGCCAAGGCTCTTTTATCTTTCAATTTGATCGATGCTGATTGAATACCCAGTCTTTGCAAGGCAAAAGCCATCACAGTGTGGGGAACAGAGGCCTGGTCTTAGAACCAGAAAGACAAATTCAAGTTCTGACAAATATTAATTGCATGACCCTGGACAAGGTCCCAGGCAACTTTCTAAGCCTAGAAATTACCAACAATCTGCCACAGTGGATAGAGTTTGCACATTGGGGATTATCTACAGTGAAGAAATCATAGACCCAAACTCTCCCCCCAAAAATTGTGTTTGGTATTAAAGACACAAAGGAAAAAAAAAAACTAAGCCTCAAAGAGGGCACTTTATACATTTTCAAATCTCAACTAGACCTTTGCCCAATCAGGAAAGACGAATTTCTGAGTTCTGGGACAGGACCAGAGGTTTTCACCAAAAGGTCAAACCAGTGGCATTGGACTTGGGGGTCAGAAAAACCTGAGTTCAAATCCTCTCTGAGACACTTACAACCTGTGCGACCTTGAACAAATCCCTTAGCCTCCCTGGGCCTCAAAGGTCCCTTCCAGCTCTAAATCTAGAAAGCAGGCCCCTGCCATCCCCTAGATCCAATTCAGGCAAGGGGCCCTGGGGAACAAAGAAGGGAGAGGACCCAATGGGCAAAGGTATTAGAAAGGACTTCTGAGTCTTCATTTCCAGCGTTTATGTCTACACAAGCCCAGCTCCCAAATGATAGTCTCGAGGAAGAAAACAAATCAGAAGGAAAGAAAGGAAGGAAATCAATCAGATGGTCAGTTAGCAAGCATTTGTTAAAGGTCTGTGATGTGCCAGGCTCTGGGCTAAGGACAAGCAGATAAAGAAAGGGGGAAGATGAAAAGGGGGAGAAGAAGATGGGGGGAAGGGAATGGGAAAGGAAGGGACAAAGGAAAGAGAAACTCTGCTGCTGGACTTCCCAGGAGCCCATCGAGTCCAGGGAAGGGCCTCCAGGGTGGGCTCTCACCTCTTCAGTCTTTGGCTCTGCTTGGCCTCAGGACTCTTGGGAATCCTTTTATATGTCTGGCTGCCTCCTAATTGAAAGCCCTCCTGTTCTGCCCCCTGCAAACTCCACCCCCCACCCCTGCCCCGATCCATCTCCCCTTTTCCTCTTTCCTCCCTTCTCAGCAGCAGGCTTCACCTGCTCGATTGAGCCAAACTCGCCTGCTTGCCTCAAACACAGGACCTTCCATCTCCTACCCGCTCACCTTTGCACAGGCTGAGCCTCTTGTGACTCTCAGAATCCCTGGCCTCCTTCAAAGCTCTGCCTGTGCGGCCTCCTACAAGAGGCCTTTCTGGATCCCTCCCTGCCCACTGAAATTACTCTGTATGTACTTTATGTATCTGTGTGGGGGGGTGAGGGGAGGTTTACACACACATATACACACGCACACATATGTGGGGGGAGAGAAAGAGAGAGGGATTGATTTAAGGTTTATAGAGTGCTTTCTTTATACATATCATCTCATCCAATTCTCATGACACAGTGGATAAAGCATCAGGCCTGAAGTTAGGAAGACTTGAGGTTTAAATCTGGCCTAAGACACTTACTAGCAGGGTGACCCTGAGCAAATCACTTAACCTCTGTTTGCCTCAGCTTCCTCATCCGTAAAATGGGGATAATCGCAGTACCTCCCTCCCAGGGTGGTGGAAAGGATCAAATAAGATAACTGAGCACTTAGCACAGTGCCTGGCACATGGTAAGCATTGTCTAAACGTTAGCTGTTATGAGGTAGATGAGCAGCTGGGTGGCACGGTTGCTACAGCACTGGGCCTGGAGTCAGGAAGAGGCATCTTCCTGGGTTCAAATACGGCCTCAGAAACTTACTACCTGCGTGACCCTGGCCAAGTCACTTCACCCTGTTTGCCTCAGTTTCCTCATCCATAAAACAAGTTGGAGAAGGAACGGCAAAGTACTCCAGGATCTTTGCCAAGAAAACTCCAGATGGGGTCACGGAGAGTCACACATGACTGAAAAATGACTCAACATGAGGCAGGCACTATTATTATTCCCATTTTATAGAGGAGGAAACTGAGGCTGAGCGACTCTTCCACCGTCTTCCTGAAGCCAAGTCTAGCGCTCTATTCCCTGTGTCCCCTGGTTGTGATTCAGAACGAGTCGCTCAGCCTCTCTCTCGGTGTTCTAGGCAGCTTTGAAAGACTCGAAATTACACTCGAAGGTGCCAGTCTGCGTTGGCAAAGGGGGCTTCTCTCTAGAACATCATGCCAATGAAAACCACAGGCCCAGTCCCTACCCCATTAACCCCCTTATCTCCAGCACCTAACACGGTGTCTGACGTAGAAGGTGCTTACAAATGGTGGCTCACCGATGGGTTGCTCCCTACTGAAAGAGTAGATTTCTTGGCAGAAACTGTGCCTGGTCCTTCCTCAACGTCCCCTACAATGACATTCTGGGGGGGTCGGCATGTAGGGGTAAGGAAGTCACAGCCTGCCAGAGCTCGGCTCTGTCTCAAGGTTCG